AATGCCGCCGGGGGCTCGGGCTCTGGGGCCCGCGCAGAGCAGCAGCAGCTGACCGTGGAGCTGATTGGGAAGACGGTGAAGATCAACCCCGACATGGCCATTTTCATCACGATGAACCCCGGCTACGCCGGCCGCTCCAATCTGCCGGACAACCTGAAGAAGCTCTTCCGCTCGCTGGCGATGAACAAGCCCGACCGGCAGCTGATTGCCCAGGTGATGCTCTTCAGCCAGGGCTTCCGCACGGCGGAGAAGCTCGCTACGAAGATAGTGCCCTTCTTCAAGCTCTGCGACGAGCAGCTGAGCAACCAGCCGCACTACGACTTTGGCCTGCGGGCGCTCAAGTCGGTGCTGGTCAGTGCGGGCAACATCAAGCGCGACCGCATTATGAAGATCAAGGAGGACCGGAGGGAGGCTTCAGGGGCGGGAGAGACTGATGCTGTGGTGGTCAACGAGGCGCTGATTGCCGAGCAGCTGCCCGAGCAGGAGATTCTCATTCAGTCGGTCTGCGAGACGATGGTGCCGAAGTTGATTGCCGAGGACATTCCGCTGCTCTTCAGCCTCCTCTCGGACGTCTTCCCCGGCATCAAGTACACCCGGGCGGAGATGCGCCGCCTCAAGGAGGAGATTGCCAACGTCTGTCGGGAGATGTACCTGGTCTGTGATTATGAGGAGGCGGCTGCTGGTGGTAGTGGAAAGAAGAGCGGCAGTGGCAACTTGAATGGAAGTGATAACGGCGGCGGCGACGACGGAGCGGGCGAGTGCAGCTGGCTGGGCAAGGTGCTGCAGCTCTATCAGATCTCGCAGCTCAACCACGGCCTGATGATGGTGGGGCCGAGCGGAAGTGGGAAGAGCACCGCCTGGAAGGTGCTGCTCAGGGCGCTGGAGCGATTTGATGGTAAGTGCTCTTTGGGGGGTTTTAGACTTTTAGAGCTGTAAACCTACTCTAATCCTCTCTCCCTCCTTTGCAGGCATGGAGGGCGTCGCGCACGTCATCAACCCGAAGGCCATCTCCAAGGAGGCCCTCTACGGGACGCTGGACCCGAACACGCGCGAGTGGACCGACGGCCTCTTCACGCACATCCTCCGCAAGATCATCGACAACGTCCGCGGGGAGATCAACAAGCGCCAGTGGATCATCTTCGACGGCGACGTCGACCCGGAGTGGGTGGAGAACCTCAACTCGGTGCTGGACGACAACAAGCTGCTGACGCTGCCCAACGGCGAGCGGCTGAGCATTCCGCCCAATGTGCGCATCATGTTCGAGGTGCAGGACCTGAAGTTTGCCACGCTGGCCACCGTCTCCCGCTGCGGCATGATCTGGTTCAGCGAGGACGTCCTCACCACGGAGATGATCTGCGAGAACTTCTTTGCCCG